TGAGGAATATTGTCTATGATTCGTCTCGTTTGCTAGGCGTAATATCACGTATTACTAAAAACATCCGCAGCTATTTGTGTATACTTTACCTTTTGCGCTTACCAGTTGTGTCAAAGTTAGAATTCCCTTTGATACTTAGTAGGGTTATGGTAATGTTCCGCAACGACAAAATAGGTACAAGACACTTTTTTACCTACGCTCCTCACAATTTGAGACTCTACTGTTTCGTATGAAACTTCTTTATGATAAGTCAAATAACGCTGATATCAATTTTTTATGCCATTTAAAATGTTTAAGAAAAGTGTACGATCAATGATGATTGCTGAATAGGTTGTGACCATATGTGTTTATTTTGTTTATATTGTCATAGACTATGTGTACCTGTAACCCTACTTAAGTCTTTAATCTTTTGGGGAGCACAAAGAATAAATGTGAATCTAAATCTAAATGTCTTTATATAAAGTTGAACGAATCTATACTTTTTATCTGTTTCTGCAACTTCACACACACACACAAAAAAAAAAAAAGAAACTGTCATGCGTCAGCACAGTACTAGCTTCACCCAGAAATCCACTGGGGACCCTGCGGTCCCCGGTGAATTTCCGGGGGAGGGTAGTACTGATTTGCGTGGCCGAACCCACCTTCTTTCAGAATTATGTTTTTTTTTTAGAAAAAAGAGTTTTGTTTCCATCCTTTCACTCGTCAGATCTAACCTGGCGCTGTGTTGAGACACCAACGCTAGCTCTCCCGCGACAAAGATGGAGTGTCCGGAACAATTCTTATATTAAATTTCTTTTATAATTACATTGCGATGGTCTTAGTGAATTAACGTATAAAATGAAGACCATGTCTTTTATTGCTTCGTGTGTAGGAAGGGAGGACACTCCACCTTGGAGCGCCTTGCCTTCCCATAACATGTTCCCTCGGTCTCACCCGTTCGAAGCCCCAATTGGTATCGTGTGTACAAAACGTAAATGTTTTAGACGCTTTTAGGCTACCGTGCATAACTTAGATTCGCTGTACTTCGTTTCATATTAAGTCTGAGAGCGCGGTTATAGCCTAGAAGACAAACAAGCGCATAGAGGTCGTCTGAAAGCGTCGAATTTCGACCCAGTCTAAGCGCTTCATTGGATGAGCCGGTGGATGAGCACGCAGAAAAAGACGGCGAATGCTTTGACGTTGCTTTTTTTATACTGCTCGATTGGCCGCTCGGCTCGCACTGTTCGCTACACTCGGACGAAACGAAGTACTACATGCGTTTCTTTGTACCCCGATAGCTTTATTTCAGCACTATGGTCGCTTTGATCCTCTTGTTACTGCAGACGGGAAAGTGTTTTTCTCTTACCATCGCAGATTTTCTGTAGTCCAATTATCAGAATATTCTGGCGGGCTATTTGGTTATACATACTAAATTACAAATAGCGCCTGTCCTGCCCACTCCTTCGTCTGTGCTTGTCCTAGCGCTATTTGTAATTTAGTATGTCCAATTATCGCCAGTAGGTAGCGGTGTGTGGCTAAAATTACTTCAACGGCTTTCGCATGGCAGTTTTTACAGTGTTTCCGCTAGCCCCAGATCAAGCTTGTAGTTTTCGGCAGAGCTTAAGGCAGTGCGTGACACAACCATACGGGATTTCTCGGTTTTTAAGCTGCGAGTAGATCGAAAAGGCATGACTTCATAACGCGAATCTTCAGACTTCTCCCCATATATTTGTAATTACATTTTTCGGATGTATATATTTTTAAATTTAAGAACATATATCTGTAATTTATAGCTTAAGCATCGCAGTCTGAGAACCTTTATGAAAGGAACTTATATGCTACGTTATGAACACAAAGTTTTAAAAATAAGAATAAACTAAAACGTTTTATATTTTTTTTAGGCCGCAGTAATTCTTAAAATTAACACTATCTTTCTACATAAATTAAAAACTGCCAATTTATTAAAAAAATGTATCCGTCCTGATCATTAAAACAAAATTTAAGGTCGTTCACACACTAGCGACTTCATAGTAGGGGAGAGACTAGAAACCGGTTTTTAAGCCTTTCATGACGACTTTCGACCGGCTCCGTCGCAGCGCTGCCTGTAGTCATTAGTCACAGGAGGATTTAAACCGGTCGAAGTCGGTCGTAATCACACACAAGTGTGTAAACGAGCCTTTATTAGAGTTCTTCATTGCACTTAATATGTTAATTTACTTTCAGTCAAAGGAAGAATAAATACTGACGAGTCAGATTTCGCTTGAACGTTGCTAGGAAAGTTCAATGTTGATGAACAAAGACAGCTCACAAGAAATCAGGGTTTCCTCTAGCGAACCCAGCTTTTCGCTCAACAAGATAACCCTCCCGTATTCAGATGAATCCGAATCCGAGCGACGACCACTGGGGGACCAGGCCATACCCATGCATGAACAATCGTTCGACCGGTCGCATGACGCATCAGAAAGACGGCTGAACCCGATCAGGCGCCGTTCAATCCCTGCGTCATGTGCTCTTGCGACCTCTTAAAACCTGTTCCTTAAAACTTCTTACAACGAGAGAACACACTGGCGCCATCTATTGGTTAGCAATGTAAACCTGGCGGTCCGGTATATTTTCTATTTCTCTCGCGCATTATCCTATCTTTCTTGGCTCGAAAAACTTTTGTCAACGTTATAAACGAGCCTTTCTTATAGGTATTACGCACATTTGACCTCGGAAACCCCGCAAAACCTCCGCTCTTGTGAAATGCAGTTCCAGGGTCATCGCATAGATGACGCCAGCGTGCCAGTGTGTTCTCTGGTCCTAAGAAATTTTAAGAAGTTTTAACACATCTCGTCTCTCTCGGTCGAACTCGGTTTTAAGAGTGTGAACGGGCCGTTATTGGTCAGTACCTGATCGGGTTCGGTCGTCTTGGGTCGTTTGGTCGTGCATGGGTGCGGCCTGACCGGGCCCCCGGTGGTTGTCGCCTGTTCAGTGGCACGAGAGAATCCCTGCGAGGACGTCGTTTCGCGGTTATTGATAAGCCGGATGCAACTGTCCAGACGTTGGTGTGAGTCACTCCCAAAATGTGGTTCCAGCAGGGCAAGAAGAGGCTTCATCACAGGAGGCGCAAAGACGTTCGCCCCCGGGGGGATTCTGTGAAGAAGGTCGTGTGTATAAACCTCTGAGTGTCCGGAATCTGCAGCAGAAAAATAAATTGCAAATCAATATGGTAGGTACATTGTGAAATATACCACTTGAGTGAAAGGCTGTTGAAAGAAGCCGCACAAATCGTCTGTTTTCTTCACGTATCGCGCTTGGATTTACGATAGAGATGCCGGAAGGTGGCAAAATGCTTGCTTAAAAACTAAAAAAAAAAAACTTGTTTAAGTAAGGAGTAAGAAATAAAAAAAAAAACCTGAAATCTCTAGGTACGGTGTCCCTCTGCTAACGTGACGAAAGACGTCTGAACGACACAATAGCCGACAGATGGCGCACGCAAAAGTGCAAACAAAAACTTTGGCTAGGTTGCGCAAGCCGCCACTCGATTACAAAGGGTTCAGCCGTATCCGTGCGTCCGTCCGTCCGTCCCTCCTTCCACCTGTAAGGTAAATTAGGGGAATTCGCATAGTCAGTATTGGCTAGAAAATATGTATCAATATTGCTCATCATTGGGGCAGTTTGTGTGGCCAATATTGGTTGAAAATGTGCTTCAATATTGATTAATATTGGGGAAGTTCTTGTAGCAAATGTTGTCTAGAAAACGTTCACCAATATTGGTCAATATTGGATCCACGTACGGCAAAGGCCGATACGGGCACACAATATCGGCCAATATAGTGCCGCGTTGTACTTTCTTATATTGGCCAATATTGTTGACATTAATTACCAGTAGGGGACGAATATAGGACCAATATTAGTGTGCTGCCTGTGACGCCGTAGGTAGGAATTTCAAGTTCTTTCTTACTAGCTTCTTATTCAGATAAGTCTCTTCAGTAAAGTTTTGGCGCACAAGCTGAACTACCTTCAAAAACTTTTGAGGTAGATCCTAGCGCGACACGTTAAGAAACCCATTTATGCCGTTCCTTCTAAAGCCAAAGGTCCTTGCGACTCGCGTTGTAATTTCTTTAAAAATTACAAAAGCAGTTTATTTTCGTATTCAGATGTTTTTAAAGCCATTCAGATAGCCTAAAAACTTCCCATTACAGGTGTTTGTGGGTGCTAGCATACTAAATTATATATAATTATATATTAACAATCTTAATAAAACCAAATTTACCACAAATTGAAGGGTACACGTTCCGCGAGGACTGACTTTAATGAGCATGTTCGCAAAAATGAAAGAAAATTATAGAAAAACGTTTTACTCGCAGACATCTTTGCGGAAAGAGTGGGAGTTGGTTGCGTACGAATGATCAAAAGAGTCTAGCAAGAGTGGAAATGTGTTGCAGTCACACAAGAAAGAGCTCCTCAAGGTCACCTTTGACATGTATTCGCACAACTGAAGCACTATCTGAACACGTGACGAGAAGGAAACCAAAATTACTAGACCAGTGTCGTGTCATCATCAACGCCAACGGAAGCTAGAAACATACAAAACACGCATAAAATGCTCTTTTCATCATCTCTTCTAGGAATCGCGGCCGAAGCTAATTTTCATTGTATTTCCGTATTGGTGAAACATTATCTGATACGTTTTTTTAGCGATAGGAGTGGAAACGCATTTCCTCGAACTTAGGTGCGGTACATTTGGACGAAATAATGAACTGCATGAACAGCCGCAGGCCGATCATATTATTTTCCCATCGTGGCTAGCCAGCGAGCTCTCCTTCTCTATCGACGTAACTAGTGTCATGAATTAAGTGGACGATTGCATGCAAATGCCCTACTACCTTTCCACCTGGAAGTTTGGCACTGGGAGAGAGTGCTGGTTTCCCTGTTCAAGTTTCCTCGTTAGAGAAAATTGATGCTCTTTGTAGTATTGAATAACGCAGTGTCTTTCGCGTATATAAATTGGAATGAAGTTCGCAGCTGGCAGTTGGCAACGTGAAGATCAGCCTTGCTTTACCTACTGATCCCGAGCTTACGTTTTTGAGCCATTATGAAGATCGCTCTGCAGTGCAGCTTGGTGCTTGCCGCCGTGCTGGTAGTGAAAGCCGGAGACTTTTGCGGTGAGTAAGACAATATATGTATATCTTTTTTATTTTTCGATGTAGGGACAAAGTGCGACTAAATAAACAACAAGAAAGTGTAACCTGCTCATTTTGTTGTGCTTTGACAAATAAAACGGGATAATGAAATTGATCTTTGTCGTGAAAAGGGATTAAACCGTGCATCAACCATGGGCGTAAAATTTGTTTTCCTTTACTTACTGGGTGCCAAGCAACGTAGATAAAACGCCGCTATTGTTTTCGTGCCACGTGTGACGTCCAGCGTACGTATCACGAAGATTTAAGAGAAGAGTGCAATGATCATCCCGTAAGAATTCTGAAGGAACAAAATGTTTGAAGTTTACTAATGCAATATCAAGGTAGAACCAGGTAGTCTTACACGTGCTATTTGCTATCAATATTACCGATACAAAATTCCAGAGAAACAACCGCGTGTTACTATTGCTGAGTAAATAAATATTCTACGGCAAAACATTAATTTTATTTTTTGTTTGTTTCCGCAGTAATATTTTTAATAATTTATTTTCCTACTTTCACAGAAACAAAATGACGCCCGATACGTAACGCTGTAAAGGATTTATTTCAGTAAACGAATACATATTTCCGACGTTAATTACACAGAACATGTTGCGGAAAATAGTCAAAGCTGTATTTTAATTTAAAAAAATCTTTAACATTTATTCAATAGCCCTGAACGCTGAGAAGAGGATTACTACCCTTCAATGCTTGGGTGAAAAGTTACCCACTGAGGTAAGCTTAAAGATTTGTTTCAGGGTTGAGGTACAAAGGGCCAAAGGGTACAAGGGAACGAACAAAGGGTACAACGAACGAAGGGTACAAGGGGGAAACGAACGACTTTACGGCGGTCTTGCTTAAGGAGAGATTATATGCTTTCATCTTATGCATATCGAAATTTTTTTAGACTTATACTTAAGGCTAATCGTTTTTTATAGAATTGTGTATAGACGTTTTGGAATGTGCATCAACGATACACATTGATTTGTTAGCACGGCAGAATAATTCCTGAAAAATTATATAGTTGATATTCTACGCTTTCTTGTTTGCTTTATTTGAACACATTAAAACGTAATTGATATTTGAAATACTATATTGAATAACTTACGAGTGGTGGTCGATGGATTATGATATTCCTACGAATTTTTTGTCTAGCGTTTGGAAATGTTTAATTGGTTTATATTTAACGATATTTTGTTTCTTTGTTTGATTCTTTCCAACTGTAGCTGAAGGGCAAATTGCTCGCCTTAAACACCGAAGGATCGCCGCTTCTAGACTTCGTCAACCAACACTGTGATAAGGGCACCGACTATGTAAGTGGAGATTTCTAAAAGAATTCGCAGGAGCTTTGACGGGATTGAAAAGATATTTGAAAAGAAAATTTAATCGAAACATTGTACAGTGATTAAGAAGCATATTCATTACACTTTAGATGACTTCATTTGAGATTATATAATATTCAATTTATTTCATTTGATAATAAAAAAGTCTATCTAAACATTCTTGCGATATAAAAATTAAGATATAGTGAGGTATGCGGAAAGAACGAGTGGCGAGATCTGAACAATGGCATTGCCGCGTACGTGGACCACGGACGTGGCTGCCGCGCGAGGACGGTTCGGGCGGGGTTCGAACCCCGCCCGAACCGGCTCGTTTATTTATGTTTTTGTACTCTTGTTGAAAGTTCCAGCTCATGCTTGACTGCCATTGTGTGTTCTGGTTCGGAATATTCCGGAACTTCCAGCGTGTATAGAAACAGCGGTAACGGGCTGCTTTCCCATTAAGTTTGTAGGCACAAGATGACCCCATTAAATGCCTTTTTTTCGGTTTTACGTCCATCACATTTTTTATTTGTAACAGCATAATATAATTCAGTGTAATATTGTGCATAGAACAAAACAGTGACAAAGCAGTTTGTCAATTCACAAAAAAATATTTATGTTCGTAGAATAAAGTTAAAGGTACCGCGTGTCCCAAATAGCGCCCAGGCTCTTTAAATCGACCGCGAAAATCGGTTTCTTAACCTATCGCGTTCCGATTTCGTACAGCGTTGGCCACAGGTGGGGCAATTTTTTTATAAAATTCGGAAAAAAGCAAACTTACCTGGGGAAAAAGTAAAAAAAAAAAAAAAAGAAAAGGCTTAACTTTGTGGGGATTTCGGACACCGAGAACTTCGGCGACGATGCGGACGGCGCGCGAGAAACGAGCGCGGGGCCAAAGCGCGAGGCGCGTGACGGGGGACAGGACAGTTCAGCCATGGCGGCGAAAGCCACCGAACACCGGGCTCGAAGACTGAACATGTCTCCATCATGACTTGGCCCCTTCCTCCGGACAAGCGGTGAGCGAGAATACCACAAATGGCGCACCAACGTGGGGCTCGCTGCTTGTCTGGGGCCCGGTAAAACAAAGCCACGATGGACGAGATTAACATCATCCGCGATGGACGCCTGCTTGGATGCCACTGCCAGGTCAAGGCAAGTCCTGCGGGACCCTGCTGGAAAGGCCTACTCCAGATACCCGGGCTGCTACGAGCAGCAGCAGTTGTGCAGCCCGTCGAACGCCCTGCCAGACTTCACTAGAGGAGAAGCGAATATCTTCGAGCTGTCCGCGGGCGGCTGCGCATGGGACCCCTGAATGCGAGCGCCGCGATCTCCAAAATGATGGCCCCGGCGGACGTTCACTTTCTACTGTGCTTCGCCGTCTCGGTGGAGCACTCTTAACAGCAACGCTAAATAGATCAGAGACGCCAAGGAGAGGCTTCGAGAGAGGCAAGAACCAGTAGGAAGACATTGAGACAATCACGGGAGGCGTCAATTATCCGCTTTGAGATTAAGCTGTCCAGTTCTCCCGCTTTGCTCTTCCTGTATTGCTTTTGGCACATCAGCCAAGGAGGTTGGAAAGACTCTAGAATGCAGGGCTTATCGCTGGATTTTAATTTATTTTAAAGCGACAGTGCTGGCGTTTGCGTTTGCTCTCCCTTTTCCCCCGATCTAGTCGTAGTGCAAGCTGGAAGACTTTTTAAGTTAAGCGGCGCTAGTGATAATGCTCGGTTGGGGGGAGGGAGACTGGTCAGAAAACAGGCAAACCGTTTGTTATTCTCTCTTTTCCCCTTAATTTTATATCGGTGTTTATTAGAAAGCGAAAGTGACTGCTTTGACGTACGTTCTTTCTCTTCACGCGAGCTAGTCGGGGTGTGAGCTGGAAGACTTTTTAAAGTTAAGCGGCGCTACTGACGATGCTCGTTTGGGGAGAGACCAGCAGGATTGCAGAAAGATACTTTGTTATTCTCACTTTTTCTTAATTTTAAGATGTGGACCCGGTTATTGGCTACATGAAGTTAATCATATTTGTGAGGTGTTCTGGCCCGCGAAGTAGGGTTGGTGCAAACGTCTGGAGTAATGAACTGCTTGCTGATTTTGTGATACATGAGCAATCCAGAAGGGGGGGAAGATGTGGGGATTTCGGACACCGAGAACTTCGGCGACGATGCGGACGGCGCGCGAGAAACGAGCGCGGGGCCAAAGCGCGAGGCGCGTGACGGGGGACAGGACAGTTCAGCCATGGCGGCGAAAGCCACCGAACACCGGGCTCGAAGAATGAACATGTCTCCATCATGACTTGGCCCCTTCCTCCGGACAAGCGGTGAGCGAGAATACCACAACTCCTATGGAAACACAGCGAAGCCACCAGTCTTCAAACTATAGGGCGACTTCTCGTTCCAAGACCGGTGGCTTCGCTGCGTTTCCATAGGAGTTAAGCCTTTTTTTTTACATTTTCCCCAGGTAAGGTCGTTCTTTGCGAATTCTATAAAAAAAAATGCACCACCTGTAGCCAACGCTGTACAAAATCGGAACGCGATAGGTTAAGAAACCGATTTTTGCGGTTGATTTAAAGAGCCGGGCCTATATTTGGGACGCAAGATAGAAGCGGTTCTGTAAACAGTGTTTGTAAAAAGGCTATTCTTACCAGCTTTTGATTTTCTCTAAACAGGTGGAAGTATTCAAGAAGGAGCTCAGTGTAAGTTTCGTCCCTTTTGTTTTTACTATTTTTGAACTTCGGGTTTTAAATGGTTCTCATGCATGTCACTCTAACGGAGAAGTATCAAACGTGGGGGAGGCTGATAAAAATTATCTTATGAAATGCAGGGTAGAGTTTGGATTTTATATTTTGCTTGACTCTACTGATTTTGATGTGTTTGGGTCCTTCGTAATTACGTAGTATGCCAAAGAGCCGCAAGCTGTTTCTCAATATACCTGTATTGAAAAGAAAAAAAGAATATTTTGTTTTCATAGTTTGTTTGATTGAACCCCTACTCGAGATAGCATGCGATGACTGACAAAATGATCCTGCTACATTTGTTTTACGTCACACCAGCGATACTGGATCTGCTTTGTGTATCCCTTATGTATCTCGCGACTTTAAACCCCACAGTCATATATTGCCCAGTGCCCATATGTTATATCAAAGCGCGTTTAAAGTTCCTCCAATAACTATTTGTCTCAATACAATGAAGTTTAGTTCATTTCTTTTTCAAAGGGCCCTTGAAATGGCCCTTGGTGCGAAAGGCTACCGTGTCGCCTGGTGAGGCATTAAGGTCCAACAGGGAGGGAGGGGGGGTGTGGCAAAATCCAATAGCAAAGGAAGGGGGTGGAAAACTTTGGGTATAAGTGCAGTAAAAAAAAAAAGAAAAAAAAAGCTGACTTTGTTACTCAAGGAACCACATTCGCTCAAAAGAAACAAATATATCGCATTTGTGCACACGAAAGAAATGTACATAGGGAACACATAAAACCATATCTGTCGTCATTAACATATATAAATGCATCACACTAAGGTACATAACAAGACACAAAGACACACCTAGAAAAAATAGCGCCCATTATAAAAAATCAGAAAAAAGTAAAAAAACAAAACAAAACAATAAAACCTTTCGAATGTGCCTAAGTTTTCTTCTTTAAGAGTGGAAAAATAATTGGGGGTTGTGTGGATATTTATACAGCGTGTAGTTGGTCAACCATTTCAAAGTTGCGACGAGTCACTCGCTGTTTGATGAACAATTTAGCCAGTGCAGTACAACCGCTAGCCTGGGGTCTTTACCCTGCTCCACGCAGTAGTGATACATGACTGCACGCCGGTACGATGCTTTAGTGGAACGCACTAGCGAAACGTACATCAGAGTGGAACGCGCTAGGGGAAGAGACGGAGTTTTAGAATAGTGGGCCCCAAAGCTGGGGGTCCCAAAGATATAGGAGCTCACCACTTCGCATGCGCCGAACCCAAACTCTGTTTTAGGTTTTGGGTTGGCGCTCGCCTTTAACGCAATATTTGTGAAATTGCGCGGGGCCCCCATCTCCCGTCTTTGCTTGGGGCCGGGTTGCGTCGGCAAACATGGCGGCGCCCGTTCCGCTCGCTTCGGAGCAAATTCGTGATGGTCGCTACAGTATTAGCCACGTTCATTACCAGTGAATGGGGCAACAGGCTTTCGTTTCGCTTTATCTCACGTCAATCACAAAGAATGAGTGGTGGGCTCGCCCCACTTTAAAGAACGTCCCCGATTCTGGCCGTTCCTAAGCCTAAAGAGGCGCGGTAACCGTTGACATGGCAGCCTATCGCTACTCCGATGTTCCGAGTAGATTTCATTCATGGCACGACACACGACACCTGCAGCTTAAAAACAACTCGTGCAGTGCTTCGAAGTCGCTCCAGATCAGATCTAAATAGAACAGCTGCTCGCACAGTATGCTCGCTTGCGTTAATCTCCGTTTCGGCAGAGTTTGAGGCCTAAATGTTCGGCCACAGACGGTCTCCCATGAACGCAAAAAACAAACAAACAAACAAACAAAAAAACAACAACAACCGAGAACGAGTGCCAAAATAAAGTGGTATAGATTGAATTGTTTTGGTTGAATAGAGCCAACAACATTTATATTGATTTTAGATTGTGTTTTGTTTCAGCTGGCTCCATTTGGTTTTACCTTAACTATCATTGTAAAAAAAAAGTACTCGATAAACGGATATATTTTACGTTTTTTTCCCCTTTTTTATTATTATGCTCGTTAGCCTCATTGGTGCTGCGAGCGGGAAACGTAAGCGAGCAGCGCTGCGTTGCGAAACCCCTATTCCATAAGCCTTCGACGCCAACCTTGTAGCGTTTGGGTCCGTAACTTCTTAGGCGAACCCAAGAGTTGGGGCTCCCTACTCTAAAACTCTCAATAAACTCCTGCTGGTTCCCAAGCCATACAAGAGTTCGTTGCGTGGCCGAGTCGGTAACGTGTCGGACTCGCAACCGAAGAATCGTGGGGTCAAATTGGCCTTAAAAAAATTGTTTAAAATTTTCTTTAAGGAAAATCTAAAATCATTTGAGACACATGGTGACCATTATTTCGCATTACTCGTCAGGGTGTTTTAATCACTTTCATCACATGCGTGATGTCACGTTTGACGTGTTCATTGTGGGTTGTTTGAAATTTCCGCGCGAGGTCATATGGCTATAACGTCATGACCCTATGGACCAGTCGTTGATATAAGCGCGCGCCACCAACGCCGACTTTTCTGCGACCCGAGCTCCTTAACACTCTCGCGTTAAAAGTAGCATCTTTAAAAGTATCAACGTATCACCTATAGACCACGAATGAAAAATATGGGACACAAAGGTGTAAAACGTGTACCCATTATAAAAAAAATGTACACAAGATAAAAACAGAAAAACCACTTGCGCTTTACAGCGTCAGAAAATAAAGGTAAAGGCTCTTCGTGTAACACCGTTCATTTTTATATTTCTCATGCCTGAAATAAGCACGCAAGAAGGCTCTTCGCATTCTGTGTTGGAAAGTGCCGTCTTTTAAGCTAAGTGCATTCAAATAAAGCCGAACCCTTAGTGCGGGAGAAAGATTTTGGAGTGCCACATATTCATCTCTGTACTTATCTCAAACAAATTCCTCTAGAATCTATTGCAAGGAGTAGAGATAAAAGTCCAAAGAGTCGAATACAAATTTCTCCTAAATGTAGTTTGTCTGATAACAACATGAATGGGTAGCGTTTCACGTCGAGATTAGTGTGTTGCTATGATGATCTGGCAATATATACCTGGCTGTTATCACCTTACTGCAATTAGCGATAAGATGGAGTTTAGTTGAAAGGTTTGGTGATGATTTTCTTTACCTTTCTAAGTTAACGCAGCTTCTCTTTTTTTTTTCTAGACGGATGAGCTTGCGGCTTTGAAGACTGCCTACGGAGAGTGCGCCACTGCCTAGATAAAGGACTAACTTGGGCTGGCAGTGTTTGATTCACCGTCCACTTCAATTTGATTGAGATTATTAATAAACGTTTAAAGTGGATGAACAACGCGCGTGTGCCTGTTTTTAACAACTGCGACATCCTAAAGTTTAGGGGAAGATAGCAAAATAATTTTAACAATGTAGCAATTAAAAACGGGAGCTGTTGAAATAGGAGATGTCCGCCATTTTTTAATGAAATATAGTTAAATAAAAAAATACTGTGATTATTCGTGTTTAGAACATATTATTTCATAGTAACCAATGACACTGAGCGATAAAAAACCGACAAAACAACAAGTCTCAAACACAGCTTCTACTTTATATGAACAACGAACGCTCTTATATTTACGGTAAGACCATCTCCACCAATAAATACGCAGTTCCTCTCCACTACGTCACCGAAAGCCAGACGCCCAGACAGGTCCAAAATATTTCATAGCGCCTCGCTCCTTTCGCACCAACTAGCCAGCCAGCCAGGCGACCTTCTTGGACCTGTCTGAGTATCCGGCATTCGGTGACCTAGTGGAGAAGGTCTTGCCTTATATATAAGAGTGTTCGTTGTTCAAATAAACTAGAAGCTGTGTTTGAAACTTGTTGCATTGTCCATTTTGTTATCGTTCTGTGGAATTCACCAGCCCACCTGACTTTTTACCATTTCATTTAGAACCCATATTCCTAATTTAAAGTGGGATTTTATCATAATTAAGTAATCTACGTTAAAAGTATATTTTGATATCGCATTTAGCCGGTTTTGATACTGTAATTTTTAAAATATCTGCAGTTACCTTAGTTGGTCTGCCTTGATTTTCAAGTGAAACATATTACTTGAACATACATTGACACCTTTCAAAATGTGTTTTTAAATTTTTTATAAGCTATTTAATATGATGTTAGGAGACTACCCAATCAATATTTTGCTACAGAGTCACGTATCTGTTTAATAAAGCAAACAACAACAGCAACAACACAATTGCTCGAAACCGAAACACAAGCACAGATGCTCATGGCCGGAAGTCACATGGCTACACCCGACCGCGTTTTTTGTTTTCTCTGCTTCTCTGGCGTGCGAAGCAGACGTCGACAACGGCGAAGTTACGTGTACCGTTCGTCGTACGATTGTTTCACACTTCCATCCCTTCTGCTCTATGTTCTGCGCTTGAAGATAGATTGACCGGTACCACGAACGACAGCTCCGAAGTAGCGGTTCAATGTCCGTCGTGCATCGCCATCGCGTCGTCTAGCCCGCGGTACGTCGCCATATTGAGAATGACATATATACATGTACTTCCTGCGATCTGTACATTTTTTTACCAACCTATTTGCAGCTTCCCGGATGCCACGCGCACTGATGAAGGGGGCACGTTTGAGAGTGAATAACTAAAATGATAATATTAGGAGAATTTTTATACTTTTTATACGCAGACTATGGGCACAGCTTGCTTGTAATATAGATTGACCGGTACCACTTGCTATATATATATATATATATATATATATACATATATATATATATATTTTTTTTTTAATTGCCAAACATGCCTGCTCGAACGAAAAATGGCAAAATTTGGAGGCCTGTATCTCATGAAACGATTTAATCAGTATTATATAATTGCAGATAGTATTCTAATTATATGTGTCTATTATTAAAAAAAAAAATAAATGCGGCATCTGAGTGATAGGATAGTCGGGATATATTTAGGCAAACATGGGGAAAAATCAAACAACGAAAAATTCCGATGCATATAAAAAAAAAAAAAAAACACACCACCTTCATTTTTTTAATATTTGGGTACCCTGTTATACTCTATTTTGGCATTCATTTTTATTAAAAACATGTTGCATTATTTTATGGAGAAAGAAGAAACAACTTTCCAAAGTAGGGTCCTTTTTTAAAGCCTACACTTAGCAGTGCCCTATACAAGAGTGACTCTAAGTTCCAGTTTCATAAACCTAAAACACCTATTTTATATATTTTTATTCAGATGAGGTTATTGATAACTGTAGCAATCGTTCACCCACTAAAATTGCGGAGAAACTACTGTGTACAAAGAGCTATCATATTACGAACTAGTGATCCGAGGAAATATCCTGCAGCCATCGGCCACTGTGAACTCTGTTTACTTTATTTTCCTACGGCACTATATGCTCCTCTCTCTTACCCGCTATCTCTATCTTCCTCTCTTACATACATCCCAGACACATCTAGAATAAAAACATATTCAAGCATTCCCTTTCTGCGTGATATTGTTCTGTGGCTATACTTCGTTTCAGCTTCGGTCCAGACGCAGCCAAAGCTACAAGCGCGAGCTCCGGGCTTTCAGCATCCCTGCCAAGCACGCGCGCTCGTGCAGTGCAAGCACTGTTCTGGGCCACATGCTCGCGCTTGTAACATCGGCTGCGTCTGGACCGAAGCTGGAACGAAGTATAGCATCAATCATTTCCTCGCGAAGATCACGATTATGGCGTAATAGTTGACGGAAGTAGCAGGCGACACTCGTCGCTAGTTTTGGCAAAACAGCCGATACAATCTTTTTTCGCATTTCCACGCTCGCTGATAGGAATGAGGGGGCTCGCTTCAACCAGCAAAATATGACCGCCGATGCCTGTTTAGTGATGAGTCGCGCCTGTCGCCATCCCGCTCGCTGGCTTCCGGGCGATAACGTCAGACACAAAGAGGTACACCGACAGAGAGCAGAGCCCCAAAATACTCGAGCACCGCCTAAATGCAATAGAGCGTAAAGACTGTCGCCACGTTAACCTAGAAAAGGTTAGCATGGCGACAGTGTTTACGTTTTAGGTAAGGGAAAACATGGCGTGTGGAATGAGCCGGATCCTTACACGAGGCGCAAAGTGAGACCTGAGAACGTGTCTGCTGCCCTAAAGTACGTCACGAAAGACGAGCTGCAGTGTTCGCGCCAAAGTCCCAACCAGAGGGACGTGATCTCTGTCATGCTCGACGGGGAGAAAACATTCGTGCCAAAGCGCTTCCTGACAAGCTCACTCCGAGAGGCCTTTCGTGTATACAAAGACAAGCATCCTGATTCCGGCGTTGGGCTAACTAAATTTTATTCCTTGCGCCCTAGATGGGTCAAATGTATTCCACCCCAGGAAGTGTGCGTTTGTGTGCACTGCGCCAATTATTACCTTTGTATTGCCGCTGTACAAAAGGTTACAGGCTCAACATTCAACACTGGTGAAATGAACTCGGCATTTCTGTGCGACCCACTAAGAAGTCTGTGTCTTTAAGGAGACTGTGATCACTGCCCAAAAGGCCAGTCTCTTGCACTCGAAAAACTTCATATCACAGAGGATGAAGAGATTGTGATTATAACATGAGAGTCCCGCAACCTTGGAAAAAAAAAAAGAAAAATGGATCTTGAGACTTTTTTAAAAATCGTTCAAGTAACGGTTGAAAGTTGGATATTTCACAACCATATCCGGAAAACGCAAGGTAAAGCGATCTACGATGAAAAGCAGCTGCATGTAACGCGGGAGCATTGTCTTTCATTCTGACTTTGCTGTAAACTGAACAATCGTACTTCCTGACAAAGTTAAAGCATACCATTGAAAAAAAAAAAAGTTATGATATTTGCATGTGTAGTGACGACAAGAAAATCTACAAAAAAACGTTGCTATCATCAGAGAGGACCTGTGTGACGACGTCGCTCTCACGTGCTTGGCTCTAGAAAAAGTGAAAGAGTGGGTTGAAGACAACGTCGCGGTATACTCGCAAGTAACGTACCTAAATGACGGGGCCGCCAGTCATTTTAAGAATCGCTACCAGCTTCACCAGTCTGCACAAAATGATTGCCCACAAGCCCAGTGGTTATTTTTTGCATCTGGACATGGGGAAATACGTGCGACGGAGTTGGCGGACTCGTGAAGCACCAGGCCACGCTAAACAACCTGAGAGAACGTTCATTAAACGGAATTCAGACGGCCAGGACAATAGTGAGCGTTCTAATTAAGAAACTGGGTACATCTTGCTTATCTGGATGAAAATAAACTTGCTCGGTATCGTCAAAAAAAAAAAAAAAAAAAAAGTGGCTGACGGTGCACGTCTTTCCTGGCATTGAGTCTTGGCACGCATGGCGGCTGTGCAATTCATCAACAGAAGGAATCTGTGACATATATGTAGCACGGACAGTCGGATAAGGTTAGAAGAAACTTTATTAAATGGGTACATTGAGGAAAGCCTTAGTGTAAAGTGCCGAATTTGATGCCCCAAGGACTGCTCATTTAGAATGCAGGGACATCTTATTTATCAGTTTTTTTTTGCAGGGCATTGAACCTTTTATTTTACTTGGTGATAGCTTATATTCTTTATCTGATCACCATATGAGAATCACGAAACGTTATCCACGCGCAGAATAAAATATTCGGCTTGCCACGATCCATTCGTACACCGAGAGTATCGAAGCTCTTACAGTCCGGCGCGGTGGCATCGCTCACCTGAAGTGGTTTGTCCCCGGAAATACATAACTAACCTAAACAACTTTAGTCTTTTATCTTTATTTTTGTGTGTGGAAGTAAATTTGTTTCTTTTATTTTAAATATAAATTATACCGGAAAGTAAAACTTTACACTGCATCCCCTTTTCTCGAATCGTTAGTCTCTAATATGATAACTCTTTGTACGCTGTATGTAAAATGCCATATATAGTTTCTCTTCTTTTTTAGTGTGCGACCGATTGCTCTAGTTGTCAGTGACCTCATTCGAATAAAAATATATAAAATATGTGTGCTAGTTTCCTGAAACTGGAACTCAGAGTCACTTGTCGTATAGGGCGCTGCTAAGTGTAGGGGGGTGTAGGCCGTGTAGTTACACGGCCTTGAATTGGCCCCGAAGGTGGGTAACATCCGCTGCGCTTGGACGTAAGGTGAAACGGAGTATAGTAACTTACAATTGCATTAAGATCGTGACGAAACAAAGGCTGCTTTGCGGTAAAAACGTAAAAATGGTGTATATTACTTCTTTTTGTTGTCCGTTTTATTCCGTGTGACAGTGAGAAAGAATTGGACAACTTCAATATGGAGGAGATCACACAAGGGTCCAGCATCACCGCAC